TGTGACCCATTTTAGATTGGATTTCCAGGAATCTAGAGCTTATTTTAATGCTTGAATGCAGTAATTGTGATGACTGAGGGTTTTGTGTACTTCTTAATTTTCCTCTGTGGCTTATAATTTGTTTCTGTATTAATCTTAATGATATTTTCTGTCTTTTATTGGAAAGTTTAATTTTTCTGAAGTGCTATGACACCTTGTATCTATTAACTTTAATTGCTAATTTTTTTCCTCTAAAATGCACATTTACTCAAACGTTTTCTTTATTGCAAAGTACTAATTGATGGTGGTGTTTGCAACCAATGAAGATGGATATTGGTTACTTTCATTTGTGAATATTTGACAAAAACGGAGTTGGTCAAGCTGGGAGTGGTGGTGCACACCTTTAATCCCAGTACTTGGGAGGCAGAGGCGTGGGAATCTGTGAATTCCAGGACAGCCTGGTCTACATAAAGAGTTCCAGGACAGCTGGGGCTACAGGGAGACCTTGTCTCAAAAAGCAACCCCCCCCAACCAGAAATGGAGTTTGACCAGATCTTTGGACAGTGTGCCCATCATTTTCTTCATTTGTAGCTAGGGTTTCCTCAGTTGCTTTTTTTTGTTGTTTTTTGTTTTTTGTTTTTTTGAGACAGGGTTTCCCTATTAAAATCAAAGTCATGCGCCACCACGCCCGGCTACTCCTGTTACTTTTAAGGAGGCATTCTTAGAACTGCTAAAAGTGGAGAACTCTTTTTGCCAGCCAGAGAGCAAAAGAACTAAGTTTGCCCTTTCTCTTTGTGGCTTCATGAAATCCCATCTTCTCCCTGGGCTTGGCTTACTTATAGCAGGATGAAGGCTCTGAGTTAGCAGAAGATCTCCTTACTCCCTGCAGCTCTCTCCTGTCCTGATCCAGTGTCCTCTCTCTCAAGGTTCTCATTCTTTTCTTTGTGCCAACAGTTTGTTCAGATTGTCAGGATTCCAAACATGAATCTTTTTGATGAGAGATAGAGGCAGCCGACAGTTTCCTAAGAGTGAAACTCAAGTATAGATGGTGTATGATGCTTGATGTCAGCTTTCCTTGGTTCTCTGGGGCAGTGTTTAGGATAAAAGTATTCTGATGACGGGAAGGTATTCTATTCCTTTTTCAGATAGCACACAAACTCTGCTAACAACCAGCAGATGGTTCTGCACTGGGGTCCTCAGCAAGCTTGTAGAAATAGCTAGAATTTTCTATTTGAGTGGCATGGTCCCAAGAAACTGTGGTAGTTTTGGAATATGGATAGACAATCACCTCAGTGCAGCCTTCCTGTGGTGCTGATATCCTAAGGAGTAGCATTATTGTTTGTTCAGTACATGTCCACTAAGTCTCCAGATACTTTTTAAGTGTTGGAATGCCAGCAAAGAGGACAAAGTCCTTGCTTTTATGAAGGTCAAAATGCAGTGATAGGGCCAGAGAACAAAGCTGGAGGGAAGGGTGAGTGGAAGTTGTAAGGTGAGACAAGTAGACATTTTAGAGGAACAGCTAGAGCTACATAGTGTGTCTGGAGAAAAATGAGCCAGGAGGAGTGAGGAGGCAGCTCTGGGCCTAGAAGGGTGGGGCTGGGGAAGATGCCTCAGTTTAGCTTTGTCCCCAGTACAGCCTGGGTCTAGGACTGCCTGCCTGGTCAGCTGCATCCTTCCTAATGGCCCCAATTCTCCTAATGCCTAAGGCATTTAAGGAAGTGTATAAATTCTTTCAGACTACCAAGGAGCCACTTAAGAGTCTCAAAGAATTTATGTACTTTCCAATTGCCTAATTTACTAGGGTATAGCCTTAGGCCTTGGAAAGAACAATGGATGCTGTTTAGGAATAATTGGTAGCTAAAAGTCATAGATACCATCACAATTCTAAGAAATTCTTGGAAAACATAGGATGCTGTTTTCAAGCACTACAGTTAATTATTACATGCTTTTACATTGTAGCATTTTAATTATTTCCATACCTTAAAGTATTGTTAACGGAATAAACAGCAGAGAGCTCACATTGCAATATTGAAACTCCTCGAAATCTACATTTTCAGTTTAAAGTTATGATACTGAGGTTGGAGTGCACACTCTAGTACTGGAGCGCCAAAGGTTGAGATGGGAGGATCACTACTTTGAGGGTAATCTAGGATACACAGTGAGACCCTGTCTCAAGAAGTCCCCCTTCATCCTCTAAAAGTTGCAATGTTCCTGTTAGTGTTTTCTGACACTGTGTACTTTACTTAAATTACCTCTAAAAAAATAAGTGACAATAGCCTATCTTTTCGTGAGAAACAATGCCCAGCCACTTTGTTGGCCAACACAGGATAGTCAGGATCCAGCTGGGGTCTCTGGCTCCCGAGTGCTTCCTCTTTCCAGTATATTTTGGTACAGAACTGCTGTTGTGTACTGGGCAAAGCAGATGGCCTGCAGTAGGTAAGGCATGAGTAACTTTTAACAAAAAGTGTTCATACCCTCATCAGTTATGTTGATCATATACAAGGTCTTCTGAGTCTCTCCTGTGGCTGTGGCCATCCACAGTGGCACAGGGGAAAGGCCAGGGAAAAAGTACAGGGTGAGCTACACATCCTTACTTAGGTGCCACCTCCAATTGTTGAGAAGCACAGATGGCATTCTGATGAAGAGAGGAGTGAAGTAACACCTTGAAAAGACTGAAGTTAGGGTGGAGTGTGGTATGCAGTGGAATGAGCAGAGTGACCGACCATGTACAACGGACTTCTTTGCCTTACACTGGGAAGACAGAGACCTATAACCTCTACTCTGCTCAGCCTTCATCTTCAGGGCTTTGGCCCCATCATTTGGTCCTTCATTTTCTTTAAATCTGAAAATACAAAAGTTTCTCCATCTGTAAAATACATCTCTAATACCATTTTAGCCCTCTCAAGAAGTGTGTGTGGGGTTGGGGAATTTAGCTCAGTGGTAGAGTGCTTGCCTAGCAAGTGCAAGGCCCTGGGTTCAGGCCTCAGCTCCAGGAAAAAAAAAAAAAATAAACCAGTAGGAATTCACATGCACAGTTGAGCCTGGCTCTTTGAACTGTAGGTGTCTATTCTAAGGACGTGAGGAAGCCTTAGCAGAGCCCTATTGTAGTGCAGCTTCCACAAAGTGGGTACCCATACATCTGACAAGTATAGATTTTTTTGTAGATTTATTTATTTATATTTTATGCGTAATAACTGCCGGGGTTGACGGCATAACCTTGAAAAAAAAAAAAAAAAAAAGTATGTGTATGTGTGTGCTTGTGTATGTATACATACATACATACACACATACACACATGCATGTTTGTGATTACACCTTTATCTGCAATACCTATTTTTCCATAAGTCTTTAACATTTTAAAAACTTATTTAATTTTTTTGTATGTGAGTGTTGGTATGCGTATAAGTGCACCTGTGCATTTAATGCACAGGGAGGTTGGAAGAGGGCACTGGATCCCCCTTGAACTGTAGTTATAGACAATTTTTAGCTGCCATGTGGGTGATTGGAACTGAATCTGGGTCCTCTGCGAGAGCATTCCATGCTCTTAACCTCTAAGCCACCTCTCCATCCCCTTTCATGAGTTTTCAAGCAAAGCCAAATACCATGATTATGCTTAAGAGCATTTTAACTTGTAAGTTTTAGAGATCTTGTTTTCAACCAAGAAAATAGGGAGTAAAAATTAAGCTTTTGGTAATAAAAAGGAAAAATCATTTGTAAAGCCTTTTCCTTCAGAGGCTCTTATGTGATAATAGTGTTATCAGGGAAGGGTCAACTCTATTAGAACTCTCCCAAGTGGAACAAGTGGCCTGAATTACTTGTTTGTTTAAGTCAAACAGGAAAGTTCTTCTTCCTTTGAACCTCAGTAATTCCAGGAAGTACAGTAAGGAACTTGGGGAGAAAGAAAGCAATGAGGGAGACCTTTCCCAGCTTCTCTTGTGGCTTCCAAAGCATTGCCAGCAGCCCTGCTGAGGTCCATGTGCGCTGCAGTGCTCAGTGTTGCATCCCTCCACTCTCTGCTCCCTTGTTCTTCAGCTGCTTTTTTGTCAGTTTTGTAAATTGGAGAGATTCAGCTTTCAAACATAGCTCATTCAAATAGGAGTTGGCTTTAAAAGTAAGTAAAATGGCCTCTAAGATTGCACTTTCCACTTACCACCAATCCACCCTGCATTTTAAGTTCAAAACTAATTGGCACTGAGCACTCGGGAGGCAAAAGCAGGCAGATTTCTGTGAGATCAAGGCCAGCCTGGTCTACATAGTGAATTCTAGGCCTACAAGTGCTACATAATAAGACCCTGCCTCAAAACAAAACAAACTCAAGCAAACCAAACTAAACCGGTAGTGAATGTTCCACTTCTAATTTGCTTTTCTTCCTTTTCCAAATCTCTTTCCAGGAAATGACACATTCATGGCCTCCTCCTTTGACAGCAATACATACTCCTAGTACAGCTGAGCCATCCAAATTTCCTTTCCCCACAAAGGTAATGCCTTAAATATGACAGGCACAGCATCCACATTAGAAAAGTATGAGGTGTGACTGTAAGCTAGGTGTATGGAGTAATACTGGCTGAAGGCTGGGGGGCGGGGAGGGGGAGGCTAGGCTAAAGGTCAAAATTTAGCTTCTGCAATACTTTATAATGCCCTCAAATAGTTTATTCTCAACTCACACTGCTAAGAACACCCAAGAATTGTATTGGGCTTTGCCTCTTAACAGCATTCAAAACTTCTCAGTCCATTTTATCATTTGAGGGTTTTTCCTCTGGAGATGGGAAAACAGACAGAAATTAAATGAAGTATATTGTCAGTTTTCTGCATACATGCATCTATATGTATACATGCACACCTACACACAAACGTTGCATGTCCCATACTTCCTAAATTTCCTTTTTGATTCAAACAGCTACCACTAGTGAATGAGGTTGTGCGCGTGTGTGTGTTTCATAGCGAGCAAATGAACTTCTGACCTATGTTGTTTTTTTGAACAGTATGTTAAAACAGCCATCTTTTCTTTTTTCTTTTTGGCTTGTGCTTTTGAATAAGCTTCAGGATATATCCAGAACACATTCAGATCTGTGTTCTGTCTGGCCTGCTACACACATATGTTTATAGGTACTCCTTCTGTGATACTGTTTTTAGAAGATTTTTTGATCTCCACAAACCCAAATTTACCACAGTTAGATATTCTATCTAGTTTATATAATGATACTTTTGTAAAATGGGGAGTCATTAATAATAGCTTTAACATAAAGCTTTAAACTATACAGATTTCTTCACTCAACACCAAAGAAAAAGTAAATTCTAGGAAAGGAGAGAAGCAGTGAATGCATTTCATGTAGAAATCAGGTTAATCAGTGTTTTCATCTTGTGCATCAAAAATGATTGATGATTGACTAGAGGGCTGGATGACTGTCACACAGCAAAATGTGAGGTGTAGGATGCATGTGGTAGTGAGTAGTACAGGTGTTCTCTACACTGTCATTGCCAGTTTTCTCTGTTAGACTTTGATGAAACTGTCTTTTAATAAAGAACCTACACAGTATTGCTCTGAGACCTGTAAGGCTTACAATTTTAATAACAAAGTTTTCTCTCTCCTAGGATTCTCAGCACATCAGTTCTGCAACACAAAGCCAAAGTAAGTGAATGTCTGGGATTGTGTATTACATTAGAGAACAAAACATTGTTCTATAAATGTTAACCAATTTAATATAGAAACATTGGTAACACATGCCCTCAAAGAATAGGTAAGAAAGCCCATTCTTTAGGTGCAATTTAAGATAAGATGTTTTAATACAGTACAAAACACAAATAATACAAAACTATTTGATATTACTTGACACATGGTTATCTTGACCAGGACTCTCTGAGAATTGTATCTCAAGAATTGGATTCATGGATAGATTGCAGTATTTTGTGTCATTCTTGTATTTTTATTTAAAAAAAATTAGAGATTTAAAAAAATAATTTATCGAGAATTTCATATAGGGATATAAGTATATAAGGTGTTTTGATCAAATACATGCCCACTTCCTCCCCTCCAACTCCTCCCATATCGCCCCATCACTTTTTTCTGATAACTTCATGTACTCTCTTTTCTTCTTTGATTTATTTATTTTGTGTGTGAATGGTATATGTGTGTGTATGAGTGCAGATGTATGTACTTGCATGTGGAGGTCAGATGTCAGTGTTGAGTGTTTTTCTTAATTGCTCACTACCTTTTTTTTTTTTTTTTTAAGACAGGGTCTCTCACTGAACCCAGAGCTCATCAATTGGCTAAACTGGCTGGCTAGAGAGCTTTGGGGGGGGTCTCATTCTCCACCTCCCCCTCCTCCTCCCTCTCCAGCCCTGTGAGAGAATTTTGTTTTTATTTGTTTTTTGGAGGGTGTGTGTGTGTGTGTGTGTGTGTGTGTGTGTGTGTGTGTGTGTGTTTAAGGAATGTAGTGCTTAGCTTTTCTAGCTCCTCTGTATCTGTCTGCCATGTGATTTTTCTTTTTCTGGGCCCCTTTTTTATGGACTATAAATTCTGGAGGATTCAGAAAGTTAACTAGATCCAACTTTTCTCTTCACTAGTATCCCCTTAGGACAACATGTCTGTGCCTTGATTATATATGCATAACATATCAAGCCTTATAAAGATTACTAGGATATTTTCAGTCATTTAGCTCATGAGAACATGTTGAGGGGAATAGACACTTCCACAGGTAAAGATAATGTGCAGCAGGATGTGATGATTGCTGAGGAACAAAGCCCTACCCTTCAAAAAGGCTAACAGTTGGGTTCATTATATGTATGCATGGCTTGAGGGAGGGGAGTTTGTAAATGTCCACAGAAATGATTGCCTTTAAATCTCCAAACTTCATTTTTCTTCTTGTATATTTTTTTCTTTGATGATTTTTCTTGCTATAATTGCAAAGATGTGAGGAAAGGAAAAAGATTAGAAAAACAGAAAACAGCCCAGCACTCCTTTAATCCTAGCACTTGGGACACAGACACAGGTGATTGCTGTGAGATCAAGGCTAGCCTGGTCTATATGAGTTCCAGGCCAGCTGGGGCTACAGGGAGACCCTCTTTCAAAACAAACAAACAAACAAAATAAAAGGAAAAACAAAAAACCAAAATAATGTTCCTCTCTGGAACACAGTTGAACAAATTGTTTGGAGTCAAATCTTCCCTGAAGCTATTTTTTGTAAGTAAAGTTTCATGGGGGCTTACCCGTGTTTTTACTGACAATTTACAAGGCATATAAAGGAAACCCAACTTGATGTTGATAGACCAGGCTTACCGTTCCTTGGTCTAGAGATACGGAGCACTGTTTTGCAAAGAACTCAGAACCAAATTGCCTGTCTGTCCTGTACCCCGATTATATTACCCTGGTATTGTATAAGTTGCAAAAAAAATTTTTTAACTGAAATTGATGACTTTATTGGGAGATTGGAAGAATTTTTTCCCAACACTTTGGCAGTCAATCCAAGGATACATGACCAGCAGAACAGTAGAGCTCTGAAAGTGGAGTGCCAACCCAGCTGTAGACAGAGTTGCTGTGTGCCTTTTTTCCTCTTTCTTGCCCTTCTCTCCCATCTGCTTGAACTTCCAGTGACCTGGATTACATGCCTCCCTTGGGCCATGACTTGTGACTGCTAGCTCTTATTTAGAAAGAATCTTTTGGGTTTTCTTTTTTGTTGCTGTTGTTGTTGTTGTTGTTGTTGTTGAGATAGGGTCTCCCTGTAGCCCCAGCTGACCTGGAACTCACTAGGCTGGCCTCAATCTCACAGAGATTCTCCTGCCTCTGTCTCGGGCTAAAAGGCATGCACCACCATGCCCAGCTGTTAGAAAGACAGAACCTTTAATTCACCTAACTGTTGGGTTGATTGAGAATGAACTTGTAAGCTCCTTATTGACCAGGGGATGAATCACCCCATTGGCCTGGACAGTAGTATGATTCCTTTTTGACTCCGATGCTTTCTCACACTGGTCACTGGTCACACTTCTGTAGGTGTTAGTTACCTCACCAGTTGCTTGCCTCCCATTGTTAGTAGGGCTGCCACTTTGTCTCTTGGTATTTGGGTAACTTTGTCCTGATGAGAATGTGACTTTTGTGGCCTGGAACCTAGTTGTTTGTTGATGAGGAAGGGGTGAGGTATGCATGCATTTCTGAAAGTATGGCAGCAGAAGAATTCATGTGTCTAACATTGGGTTTACTGGCCTCAGTTCATAGGTTTTGGATGTCTGGAGAAACATAGGAATTTTACATGAGTGTTCACTGCTTATGTCTGAGTTTATCCAACACGGCTGCCTAAGGATTTCCAACTTGGAGCCTGATCAATATGAACTTGTAGGGTCTTTTAAATGGTCAGAAGAGTGACGCTTCTCTAAAGTGGAATTCTAGCTATCTAGACAGCAGGAAGGTAATTTGAAATAATGGAACATATAAGAGCTGCTGCCCCCAGAAGGAGAAAGTGATTAACTACAAATATGCAAGGGTGTCCATCTGACATTTGTGATAAGAGCCCCTTACCCCTGCCTGAAAAATAACCTTATTTCCTTTCTACATTGATTCTGTTGCTAGGTCCCCTGACCTCATGTCTAGACACAGGCAGCTGCCTTCAAGCTGGAATGTTGCCTCATTTCCTGTTCCCTTTAGGGTATACCAGGTAGTGTAGTACCTAGAGACTTTCTGAGACACCCCTGTGTTGTGCCCCTGCTTAAATCATTGGTGGTGTTCCTGAACTTCCTGTCCTAGATTCAGAGCTCTCTGAACCTGACTCGTAGCCGTTGCTGGTCACTGCATACCCCATACACCCAGCCTCATCCTTGACAAACCTGGTTCCTAGCTCCTCTGCTTTTCCACATCTCTCTTCACTTCTTCCTGAAGACCTACCTGCAGTCATTTTGTCAGAATCCCACTTATCCTCTGTGACTCATCCATCTCATTCTTTCTGTAATTAGCCTTTTTTGGTCATTACAAATAGAGTGACTAGTCTCTGGATACCCAGGACAGTAAATTTACACAAGCGGCATATATATTTATCTCACACTGCCTTAGGTTGTAGATATTTGTGAGCCTGTTGCATGTCCCTCAGGCACTGTAAGCACATTGAGGACTGGGCATCTGCCTTACACATGTTGCTGTCTCCCAGGCAGTCTATAAATAGCTGCTGAGTGAATGAATTGGGCCATAGGAGATTGAATCATGGAGGGTCAGGTGGGTAGAAGCTGTACAATCATGGATGGACCTGGGAGTCAAGCCAGGCGGGATGTGAACACAGCACTGTCTGAGTGTGTCCATAGGAGCCCAGTCAATTGTCATCAGCAAGTTGGCACAGCACGTGCAAACCCTGTTTTCAAGTAGTTTTGATTTATTAAGAGCTGTTTTTTGTTGTTGTTGTTATTGTTGTTATTTTGTTTGTTTCTGAGAGAGCCCTATCTCTCCTAGTACCATAGATGTCTTATAAGACTGAGACTGGATCAGTTGTATCAAGTGCAGTGGTCAGCACTCTGGCCAACAGAATTTATATGGGAATTTAGGTAAAAGGTGGCGAGCAGCAAAAAGGGAACTTACAGCTAATAGTCTTATAAATACATGTCATCCTGTGCTGACTATGTCTTCCTCCCCCACAGAACAATATGATACACCTTCAAAAACCCACCCTAATTCCCAGCAAGGAACATCGTAAGTAAAACAACAACCACCACCAAAACCAAAACACTTTCCTTAAGTAAAAAGTTGATGATATGACATTGAAATTTCATGTGGGAGTCCATTTTGTAGATTGTTCCCCCCTTTTCAGTTGATGACATTCCTAAAATACTGCTGCACTGTAAAGGGTGGGGATGACCCACGGTTATGTTTGGATCAAGTTCTATTGAAAGTTTATGCACTGTAGGAGAATGTGCTATCTGGGTTTTTGGACAGAAAGGTTTTGAGGTATTACTTGTGCATTAACTGTGGAACATAGTAAAACTTCAAACTTAAATAGCTTTCGCTTTTGGAATTAAATTTGGGGGGATGTGTAGGATTGAAATTTTCTGCCATTTTTCTGGCCTAGTTTTATGATAAGGAGCTAGTTCTCCTACCATGGTTCTTTATTAAGACCATGCAAGTCTAGATGTATTTTGGGTTTTTGGAACACTTTAGATTTCATATTAGAGGTTTAATTCAGCATTTTGACCCAATTTCTTTAGTTCTTTCTCTTCTTTTTTCTTGAGACAGGGTCTCATTTTGTAGCCTTGGCTGGCCTGGAACTCACTATGTAAACCAGGCTGGTCTCAAATTCATAGAGATCTGCCTGCCTCTGTCTTTTGAGGGCTGGGATTAAAGGCCTGCACCACCATACCTGGCCCTCTATTTATTTCTTAAAAGTATTGAATTAGTGTTTCTTTATTTTCCTCCCTGAAGTGGTCATGAGGGACTGAATGAGGAGGCCTTCTCAGCCCCCTCTCCCTCTGTGGTATCTGACCTGTCACTAACACACTGACTTGCTACACAGAGGTTGCAGGTGTTCCTGGAGTTCAGGTCCAGTTCTATTTTTTCAGCACAATATTGCATGTATTTTGGAGGGTGGGCATTGCTATGGATTAGTTTAAAAGTTACAATTGAGGCTGAGAGATTATTACATACCGCTGGGTCTGAAAGAGACAGGGTTAAGTCCTTGTTCCCAAGGTCCAGCTCCTTGATGGATTTATTTTCATTTCACCATAGGAAAATTAACAATCTCCTGAGATATTTTTTGATAAAGTTTAATTTTTTGATAAGGTTTAATTATTTTAGTTTGAAGGATGGAATTTTTTTTTGTGATCAGAAAGTATTTTATTTGTCCTGGTAGATGAAGAGTTTTTGTTATGTCCTTTACTTGAAAAAACAAAAACTACAAAACCTATGCCAATCACCCTTTGTGTTTCCCTTTCCTTTGGGGGGAATTTTTGGGCTCTTAAACTCTGGCAGTGTGAATCCCTGGCTTTAGACTGTGTGCAGGAAAGGAAGAGGCTTTTTAATCTAGCTAGTGGCTGGTAAGGTTAGAAGCTCTAGACCCATGGTGATAGGTAGCTGTGAGACTGTCCCAGGCTGTCATACCCTGTACCTGTTTGTAAAGGTTGGAGGTCAAGCCTTAGCAGCAAAACGAACTGGCTGTTGTCACTGGGTCATTCAGGAGGGTAGTCGAAGCCCAGGTCGTTAGGTCCCACTCAGGACAGCAGGAGCAGACTGGGCAGAGTAGCTGTACCAAGGGAAGGAAGAAGCTGTGTCTCTGGGTTTGTGAAAGTAAAGGAAGAAGGGCACTGGGTGCTACACCTGAAAAACAGCCTGTGAGTAGGCTGACGTTAGCCCCCCAACACTCGGAGGCTTGCGAGGGAGTCTTCTTGTGAAGACTGCTACGTAAGAAAATGGGGAGCGCTCCTGGTAACAGTTTAGTAACATTTTAAATATTTATTATTTTTATTTTATGTGTATGTGTGTATTGCCTGCATGTAGGTAAGTGCAACTGTGTCGTGCAATGCCCACGGAGGTCAGAAGAGGCTGTCGGATCCCCTGAACAGTTGTTAGCTGCCATGTGGGTACTGGGATTTGAACCTGGGTCTTCTGCAACAACAACCAGTGTTCTTGACCACTGAGCCATCTCTCCAGTCCCCCCAGTATAGTAACATTTTAAACCAGGGATGCTGAAAGTTGATTGCAAATGTACTTACATCTCGAGACACAGAATGTTTTCTTCTTCTTTTTTATTTATTATTCCAAAGAGAGGCAATTTTTAACACATTTTTCCAGAAATAACTTGAAGCAGGTTACATAAAAATACATATACAATGAAGTTTAAGGGGGAAAATAGGAATAAGAAATCAAAGACCAAAAGATTTGCAAACATGGGGTCAACTTTGTGGAATAATGAAGGTTTCCATTAGCTTTGTCTTTTTTTTTTTTTTAAATCCTAATGAGTTTATTGGGTTTGCTAACAGAGCATAGGGTGGGGGTTTATTTACAGAAGAGTGGCTAAGTCCACACTCCACACTCAAATATAGATCCTGTGACTTCGTGACAACTACACAAAATGGCAAGAGGTGCCTCAAGGCATTCTCAGCTTACATATCCCTAGCTCTTCCCCCACATGCAACTAAGGTTGACTGTTTTCTTTTAAAAAATATTTTTATTTTTTTATTTTACGTGTATGCGTGTATAGCCTGCATGTATGTAAGTGCACCCATGTCGTGCAATGCCTGTGGAGGGCAGAAGAGAGCATCAGACCCCCTGGAATTGGGAGTTTCAGGGTTGTAAGCCACCATAAGGGTACTGAGGCATTTGCGAGAGCAGCCAGTCCTCTTAACCACTGGGCCATCACTTTTTTATACAAGTGTTTATAAAAAACACTTTTTTAATAAAGTGTTTTCTTTATAAAAACTGCTAATTGGTGATAATTGAAAAGATTGCTTGTGGTGTTTTTAAGAAACTCAAAGAAGAATCGGATGTGCGATGCCCACCTTTAGTTCTAGCATTCTGTGGGCAGAGGCAGGCAGATTTTGATGAGTTTGATGCCAGCCTCAACTACACAAGTTTGAGGCCAGCTACAGGGATACCTTGTTTTTAAAAAAAATTCAAGGAAAGGATTAAACACAAGACCAGGGGAGGTGAGATTGGGAGGGAGGAGTAATACAATGGAGGAAGTGTGACTGAGGCTGGGCAGATAGTATGGGTTGTATAGACAGCCGTGGTGGGGATGTGGAGTTAGTGATATTAGTAAGTGTCAAATTGAAATGTACCTCATGAAAAAGGAATCTCTGTTACAAACTTGCTTTTAATGGAGACTAGATGAGCATGGCATCTCAATTTATAAAATGTAGTTGTTTCAGATTTAGTAGGGCAAGTCTTTTAGTGCTGCTGAGTTTATGTGATCTAATGTCAGCATTCGGGCTTTCTGATGTGCAGTTAAGCTGTTCGAGTGGCAGGTAGAGTGTCAGAGGGATAGTCCGATGCCATTTGTATGCCAGAATTATTAATCATGGGATTCTTTATACCGTGGCTTAAAAAAATCAATCTACATCTTGCTAGACCTTGAAGTAATTAATAACATTAAAAGGAAGAGTTAGAGCCCCAACACTGAGGAAAAAGCTGTGAACAGTGTGAACAGTCGTGTATCTGTCTGAGTAGGGGTTGGCAAAGTGGTAGCAGAATGTGTGTATAAAAGAAATGTAGTTTTGAATACATTGCGTGTGTGTGTGTGTGTGTGTGTGTGTGTGTGTGTGTGTGTGTGTGTGTAAAGCTCTAGTTATTTCTCAAATAGTGAATCCTTCTACAAAGCTCTACAGGTAACTGATTGCTAAGGTGTTAGTGTTGTTTGCCTCCACGTTTGGGTGAGGATGTATTTGTTTAAGGGCTCTTGGCTTTGCAGTCTTCTTTCTTTCCAAGATGTAGATCTGTGTAGTTTCAGGACAAAAAGTACTAATCATAGGCTGTTTCCTTTCTGAGAGTCCAGATGCACTACAGTGCTGGTGTTGGAGCAGTTAGGAGGGCTGCTGCTGGATTCATGCTCTGGAAGCTATAAAGCTGTTCATACTGTTACTGTAACTGCCCTTTCTCCCCCCGCCTCCCCCTCTAATCTGTCCTTAGGAAGGTGCTTCCCTTCATTTATTTATTTATTGCCCCTGAAGGCAATCCTTTCTTTGAAAAAAGGATAGCAATCAGTTGTTTCAGCCATTTGAAGTTTTACTTGCTTGCAAAGTTGCATTTGAAAAAGGGAAGACTGGGTTTCAGAGTGTCCCCGGAGTTGGATGTGGAGGAAGGGCAGTTAATGGAGGCTAGGGGAAGTCTGATACTTTTGTAAATGAACAGTGTTTTCAGCTCCTCTGAAGATATTACTAGGTTTTAAATACCATGCTAAAAGGTAATGTTAAATAATCATATCAGGACTTAAATTTCAGCTGAAATGCCCTAAATGGCTTTCCTGCGTTTGCTTGCTTGTGTTTTGTTTTTCTGTGGTGCTGGACATTGGATTGAATCTAGGGCCTTGTTCATGCTGTGTAAGCCTGCATCCCTAGTCCCTAAATGTCCTTCAGAATGAAGTTTAATGACACGGTTTACTTGTCCCAATTAATTTATATCATATTTAGCCTAAGAAAATTAATTTTTTTTCTCACTGTCTTCTTAAAAGTTAGCTTCTGCTGGGTGTGGTGGCACATGCCTTTAATCCCAGCACCTGAGAGGCAGAGGCAGGCAGATCTATGTGAGTCCCAGGACACCTGGGGCTACCTGGAGACCCTGTCTCCAAAAAGACAACCCCCCCACAAAAAACTTCCATTGTTTGAGGGTGTTTCACTTGGGTGCTCTTGGCTACTTTTTATTAATTAATTTTTATTTGATGAGTATGAGTATATTGCCTCCATGTATGTAAGTGCACCCATCTTGTGCAGTGCCTGCGGAGGTCAGAAGAGGGTGTCAAATTCCCTGGAACTGGAATTGGGGACAGTTGTTAGCTGCCATATGGGTGCTGGGAATTGAACCTGGGTCCTCTGTAAGAGCAGCTAATGTTCTTAACCGCTGAGCCATCTCTCCAGCCCAACTTGCTGGTTTTTTTAAATTAGCCATATTGTTTGAGAGTGTTTTGCTTAGGTCCTTTATTTCATTGGCAGCTCTAACTGAAAGTATATTTCCTGATAAATATCATCAACAGGAAATTGTAGAAATGA